TTAGACTATAGCTCATATGAACCTAAAGGGAGGCCCAGTCCTTCCCTCTTGGCTTCCATCTGGCCTTGATTGCAACACCATCAATGAGTACCTGGCCAGCCATTATCTGTTTTGCTGTTAAGGGACTTCAACTAAGGTACCAGATGCGATCACTTAATCTAACTTCCATAACAGCAACCCAGATTATGCTATCTGAAGGGGTGTCAGGATGTGATTTCATTTTCATCGGGAGCCGCATTGCAGAAGGCACTCAGAAAGAGCCCAACATCTTAACAATCCCCTTTCTAGAAAGCAGCTTAACTCTGTTTTAAGGTTCAGGATTTATGGTTTGTGAGCAGGGTCAGGTTTTGGGCGTTCGGGCTCAGAAGCGAGAAGTGACATCTGCGCAAATACCTGCGGCAATCTACAGTGCAGCCATTAGAGCTCCCTTGATGGAAGAAACATGTAGGTCCACCTGTGCTGGGTTGCTGTTGAGGACCCTTAATCAAATTAACACAATGGGTACACAAAATAGTTGATATGGTTCCCCCGCCACGGTAACTTAAATGAAGTTCCTTAACAGCATCCAGTTTTAGAATGCTGACGTAATGAGACTTCAAAAAGGCGAGTTGGGCTTCGATGCATATACTTTACATCTGGCCAATCGTTCATACAGTAGGTCAGGAACGTGCTGGAAGCAAACCGCCACTGGGGCTATAGGGTAGCCAAAATAGGGGAACCCCAACCTAGGACCCCAAAATGCTATGATCTTTTTTTACAGGCACCCCCAAAAAGGTACTCCTAATTTTGGGAAGCCCACTATGGTGCTTCTGCCAGGCCCCTCGGCCGAAAGACTTCCTTTCCAGTGCATATGCGGGATGACAACCTGTATACCGTTGAATCTTCCCGGCACGCCCAGAACCCTTGCCAAATGGTTGACTTCCAACGGCTGACATAAGGCCATGTCAGGACCATTTAAATCATCTAGACCACCGTTTGGGGGAAGAATTGAAGAAGGTAAATCTACCCCGGTTACAGGGCCTCCTGACGGTCTATCGCGTCCATGGCTTGCCGAGCGCCTCGCACAGCAGCCAGCATTTCAGGTCAAGGACTCTGGATGTAGAATAATTGTCTTCATAGGTTTTTGTCTGCTTTGTAGAGGTTCTTTATACAGTGTATAATGCGGGGTAACATGTTGAACTGACTTGCTTTCCAAGCGGTCAGGCACGCTCAGGGGTTGGTAAAGCTCTGGATGCAAACTATACCCATTCTGAGGAAGTTTCCTGCCAGCTACATGTTCTGCTCGGTCCCTCCACATTCAAAACCGTATCCTGGCCTAACGATCTTCTACCTTGCAGCTGTGCGCTCTGCTTCCCCAGAGTCTATGTCACCAGGCCATCTCATCAAAAGCAAGTACCCAGCCTCGTTCCTCAACCCAAACCCTGAAATCATGGACAGTCAACATTGGGCACCCTGTTGAGGCTTTCTACATATCCAGGGTGCATATTCTTGGTAGCGCTGCCCATAGTATGACAGGGTTACTGCTAAGGAACTTAAAGCAAGTTCCTGAAATAAGGAAACCCTATTGTTTACCATATACACCTATTGTGGTAACTTAGTTTAAGCTCCTTAACAGAAACCCAGATAATTACCTACAGAAGGCCATGCCATTGCCTGAAGCGTTGACGAAGCGCACCCACGGAATGTGCTGGACAGGGTCACCGACCTGGAGCAAGATCCAGACGGTGGGCTGTCCAAGCAGGGCTTAGGGTTTGGGGGTTTAGGGTTTAGGGCTTAGGTTTTAGGGTTTAGGGCCCTCGGTTGCATCCACATGATTTAATATGGCCCCTACTATTTAAGAAACCCAAGAAGTTTGATGACCTAGCAAATTAAATGGGCTCGGACCTCATGGCTTGGGCTGGGCGGTTGAGTTCTCAGGTTCGGAACTCGGGGTTGGAAACTTTCTAAACTCTCGGGGAGGCTTGTGTAAGGACTGTTGTGACACCCTAATTGTGGAAAAACCCATCAACCCTAATAATAAGGACACATGCCCACTCTTCCTGATCGCAAAACACCCCGCGAAGCTACACCTATGTGTCACGGGATGCTTGCATGGAGTGTTTGAGGCAGACGAGGGAGACACGCCTTTGGGTCGTTTGGGTTCAGAGTTGAGATGTAGAAAGCGTGGAGAATAAGCTGTAGGCCCGTCACTTACCCATTCTGACCAGCCCTAGGCCCTGAATCCCTGATCCCTAGATCCAGAGCCCTGATGTCCAGGTGTAAGCTCTAGTTTGCCGCGCACTGTCACGCAACACAAGAAGAACTTAGCTTAACCACCAGTACCACACATCCTGGCATACGCCCTTGATGGAGCAAAACCCTTTTGAACAGCAGACTCGCCTCACTCATAGCCACTGAAATCTGTTGTTCGCGCCATGCTGACCCCCCTCGTGGCAAAAAAGAAGTGAGACAATACTGAAGCGGAAGCAGTAGCATGCAGCAGCTACACAGGTGTTTGGTCGGCGGCATCATAACCTTACCCGCTTCTTAACTTGTGCCATGAGTCTGCTGCAACCCTCCCAAACTGACATGGAGTGCAAAAAGCAGCACTACAAAGACTACCGTGCATTTGTAGGGACAGTCAGATGCTAGTGTCAGCTAATTATGGGGGACGCCTAGGCAGACTTGGCGCTACAACCGCCTTTAGTGGAAGTCCGTGCTAGGCACATAGTTTTCTTAGAGCTACACGTCTGACGTCTGGTGAGACGGTTGCGAAAAGTCTGCGTCACGGAGACCGTGTCAGTTGGATCAGCACGAAAGGCTCTATGAAACACTAGCCCATCAGCATCCCATCCCAAAGCTGAATATGACAAAAAGCTGAAAACTAAATCCCTATTACTGTCTTAACTCTGCTTTCTAAACCATGCAGTCCCTGAGCAAGGGCCTTGTGGCAAATGTCGATCTCTCCATATCGTTCCAGCACAGATTTCAGTTGGAGACGCTTCGTTCCTGCATGGACGCCTCCCACGATCTCCTTAGTTGCAGTCCATCATAGGGTTTACATTGGGGTTATAAAGGGATAACCGAAAAGAAAATGGAAACTACAACAGTACATTAAAAGAAGGGTATAATATGGGGTAATGCTACATCCTCATCGCTAGGCTCCCTACCCATAGCCATAGACCCCGGGCGGTTGGGGATTTCGTGGTCAGATCCTTTTGGTATCACAGATGCGCAGGGCCAGTGTTGAGAATGTCACAAGGAAACATTAGCTTCATGCCACTGCCGCCGGGCTCCAAAAACTGGAGTCCCTTCTCTTGAAAGTCTGAAACAAGGAATATTCTGTGTTGAGGTCTATATCATATTGGGTGGGGCCCAATATTCGTGGGACCCACTGATCTGTCGAGGATTTGTGCTGTTTACAATCTTCCGCGCACAGTGTGTTGCAAATCCTGGCAAAGCAATGTGGCCCTCCGTATGTTGCTCCGTCACGCTCGGGCAGATAATTCTAAGAGATAATGCATCCCACCTAATCCTCCCACTCACACAAGAAGAGGCGTAGATTGTGGCCAGCCTGCCTTTTAAGGGGGTATAGGGTCATACGCGGGTATATAGGGATATACACAGACAATATATTTGATTTAGGGCCGGGCGTCGATGGTGTCCATGGAAGACGTCATCCTCTTTCGGGAGCGCCAGGGCCCTCCCGGCCCCCTGGGAGCCGCTCCCTTTGATACCCGGCTTCCCCTTGCTTTACTCGGGGCTTGGGCCAAGGAAGCAGCAGACCAAAGTAACATAGTAGTATAGTAGCAAAATGACATGGTATTCTGGAATTACTTTAATAACACAACAAGCCAAGAATTTAGACGCGGCAATAGAAATTTAGGCATTTGACATCACGGCCATCGTGAGGATGTAACCCCAAAGACTTCGCAACACTTGTTCAACTCCTAGCAGAACATTTTTTGCCCATGTGACGACAGCTGGCAACACAAGAACTAACCCTTGGCAAACCACTTTACTTTGTCTTGAGTAGCTCTAGGCAAGCCCCTGCAAAAAAAGCGGCTTAAGCGACCTCTGACCTACTTAGAAAACTGAGGCTTTCTTTGCCGCTGACCCTTCAGAAGCCGGAGCTGGAGGGGACCAATATAACGCAGATGTAGCCATGTTACATAAGGGACTCTTGCCTTACTTATCAGCAAGTTCCAGGTACAGCTCGACGTAGAATGTAAATACCCGGAACCTCCAAGTAGAGCCGAATACTTCAAATTGACATGGGCCCTTGTTATGCACTATATATAGGTAAAGTTTACCAGGGACGTCAATACAATCAGAATCTTTCCAAAGCGTTGAGACTACTGCGGTACTCTGTCCTTGGAGGCTTTCGTAATACTGTAAGAATTAGATGCCATGTCCACCTGAGCCAGGCAAGAAACTTGGAACAACATGGCCGTGATCAAGTAAATGGAAGGGAACCCAACATATTTTTTGCGTGTAGCCTATGTTCTCTCTGCTTGAGACGAACTACTCCTTTTTCTTCAGGGCAATCCAAAGTAGCTTGGCCACTGAGCTCACAGCTAAGTATGTCCCAAGATGGGAAAGGAAACCTCCCTGAAGCCTTCGTATTTTTGAGGCACCCAAAACGCTGAAAGTTCCTCAAAGCTACATTAGGATAAGCTCCCTGAAAACAAGGACCCAGTCCTGTCTCCTGTCTTCATCCGTCGTTGAAGGCATGGCGATGTTTCTTACAAGAACGCTAAAAAGTGAGAATAAGCACAGAACTATCTGCAAGAAGAAGGCAGGTAAGAATAGGAATGAAACGCAGGAAGCCGTGTGGGCTAGAGCCTTCGGGCGGCTCAAGGGTTTGTTTGCCTGGAGAATTGGCAAACTATTGAGCAGACAGTACTGAGTGGTCCAAATTAAAGGGCTCTGCATATTACCTCAGGAGCTGTAGTAGTATCCTTTTAAATTTGTCAGAAGGATGCCAAGCTGTGTACAATTCTGCGTTAAAACCGCGCTGTATATCTGGTGATGGATCGTCACGTCTACCAGAAGCAACAGGGCCTTAATGGTCAAGATGACTAGTCCTTGTGGGCACAAAGATCCCTGAAGCTCAAAGAAGGAATTACCACCTGCCAATGGCATGGGAATGGAATGGTGTGTCTCCATTCAAGTTTTTACAATGACTAGTAGGCTGGGGTATCGCGTCGAGTGGAGTCAGCGATCCCCACATGTAGCCATGAAGCCCGCGCCCCTTTGTAATGAATACTCGGCTGACATATAACGGGCTTATGGGAAATTAAGAATCATTGAGGATGAGGAGTCTGAACCCCTTCTTCGGCAGGTTGTCAGCACGTCGTGCTCGTTTTGCAGGTGTCAAGCTCGAGGAGCCAACAAAATTCAAGCACATAAGCCCTCTTATAGGGTCTTCGTGACACGGGTCGGCTTAACGAATACACTCCTACTTGGTTCAGCTACAAGCACAAGAGAACACTCCTCACATCGAGCTGAGCCGAAAAAGGAACATGGCTGCGCGAAATTATCAGAGTGAAGCCTCCATGTTCTTGCTGGTTGCAAATAAGGGGTTGTAGTATTACTATTATTTATACTATTATTACTCCAACTAGAACTACTATTACTTTTGGGAATACAGGAATAGAAATCGGACATGGAAACTAGCATAGTCTTGAAAAGTAATCATGCAGGGGTTACTATAACGACCAAGTAAATGTCGAGTCTAGCTTTGCAGGCAAGAACTTCAGTAGAACCGAATGATGCAACGCACATAGGGATATATGGGGACTATATAAGGGTTCCAGCACCCAAATAATAGGGTTTGAGGGCTCAAATACCATTAATATGATAGTATTTGGGCCCTAAAGCCTTAGTGCCCTGATCCAAATCGTGTTCCGGCTCGTAGGGATGCTCCAACTGATCCGAAAAACGCCATCGGACCCCTCGAAGAGAATCGGGGTGTTCCTGTTGATGGATGCTCTACACGACATTAAGTCTGCCTTAGTACCTAGTTCTCAAGGTTTAGGTATACGAGGTCACGCAGGGTGCCATCCCTCAACTGTACTACTTTCAAAGCCCCAACC